AAGAAAGGCAAAAGTTGTGGGCTTTAATGCCTGCAGAGTCACTGGCAGTAGAGCCAAGCCATTTAGTGTGATGAGCATTAAAGTTACCAACAACAACAATATTTGCTGAAAGATAAAGAGAAAGGGCTTGGTCAATTTGATAAGAAATAACATCCAAAAGAGTGAAGTTTTGATGAAGAAGAGCAATATAGAACAAGGAGAAAGGTGATAGAGTGAAGTGGTGCTAAACGAAAGCATATAAAAGAGTAGTCTGTGGATTCAAACCTAGTTTGCCGACAAATGGGAGAATTCTTACAAATGTAAATGCCCAGGCCAAGCATGTGACCATTGGAGTCTTTACGAATTAAAGGAAGATAACAATCAACACTAAGATCACAAGATCTTAGTGTTGATGGTCGATGTAAAAAGGTCAATGTTGTAATCAAGATCAATGTAATCAAGGTTGATGTAATCAAGGTAAAAAGATTGATGTAATCAAGGTTGATGTAAAAAGGTCAATGTTGTAATCAAGATCGATGTAAAAAGGTGCTTTCTGATGCTAAACTCCATTATTCTCAGTTCACTAAATCTCACATCTTATTGCAGAGTTTAGGCTCTAAAGACTTTTGGAAAATCTTCAACAGCATTATTAACAAGGGTAGATCTAACATTCCATCTCTCATTCATGGGACTGATCTTATTACCTCTCCCAAGGATAAGGCAGAACTATTTGCAAAGAACTTTTCTTCTAATTCCACTCTTGAATCTTATGGACATTCTCTTTCTTCCATTCCAGTCAAACAGGTTGACCCATTGTTAGACATCAAATCACTCCGGCTTCTGTTGCTAAAGTCATTTCTCTTAATTAAACTTGTCTACAGCTTGTGGCCCAGACAACATTCCTGTCACAGTCTTGCAGAATTGTTCTCCAGAACTTTCTTCAATTCTCTCGAAACTATTTAACAAGTGTTTGACCGAGTCTTGTTTTTCTGCTTGTTGGAAAATGGCATCTGTGGTTCCAATACTCAAAAACTCTGGAGAAAATTCTGACCCCTCCAATTATCGTCCAATCAGTCTTCTTTCTGTTATTAGCAAGGTCTTTGAGTCTTTGATCAACAAATTCCTCACATCTCATATTGAGTCAAATAAACTACTGTCAGACAATCAATACGGTTTTCAATCCTCTCGCTCTATGGCAGACTTGCTAACTGCTGTAACTGAAAGATTTTATCGAGCATTAGATGGAGGCGGTGAGGCTAGGGCTATTGCTCTTAACATATCTAAAGCTTTTGACAAAGTTTGGCATGTTGGTCTTCTCCATAAGCTTGCTTCATATGGTGTTTCTGGGAAAGTTTTTGAGATTATCAAATCATTTCTTTCTAACCGGTTTATTAAAGTCATCCTTGAAGGCCAACACTCTTCTTTATTTCCAGTAACTTCTGGGGTTCCCCAAGGTTCCATCCTGGGCCCTGTTTTGTTTCTTATCTACATAAACAATCTTCCTGACAACCTTTCATCTAAAGTAGCTCTTTTTGCTGATGACTCAACTTTATACTCCTGTCTTGACAAAAAGTCTTCTCTTTTCGATCGCCTAGAACAAGCAGCTGATCTTGAATCCGATCTCACTTTAGTAATAGATTGGGGTTCACAGTGGCTTGTGAATTTCAACTCTAAAAAAAACCTAGTTGCTTCTGCAAACAACTACCGTAATATGGTCAACATTCCTATATTAATGAATGGCAATCAGGGTTGGCATTAAAAAACTCGCCCAATAAAACCCAAAAAAACCTGCCTAAAAAAACCCAATAAAACCCTGGAAAATCTGGGTTTTATTGGGTTTTTTTAAAGATATTTAATAAGTTTATGAACTATTATAACCAATTTTAACATTATAACTATAATATTATCAACTAAAATAATTATTAACTATTATTATTAACTAAATTATTATTAACTATTATTATTATTATTAACTATTATTATTAACTATTATAACCAACAATAACAGCTATCAGAGCAGGTTTACTATTATTTTAATCATTATTTGGAAATACATTATTCCATTTTTTATTCAAATATTTTTATTGATTGAGATTTTTATTATTTTATGTTATTCACCTCCCAAGTTGAATTTAAATGAGTAGTAGTGACTAGAGAAGCCAACACAACAGTCGAGGAGGCTACCTTGTTGTGGTTACAATCCTCCCTCAACTCTTACGCGGTAGTGATGTTGTGGCAGAGTGCTCGCTTCATCGCTTCATAAGTGCGAGGTTCCGAGTTTGATCCCCACTATGTTCCTGGCAGTACCACACTTAACTCCATTCTCCGCGCAGCGGCCTTGTTCGTCAAGGTTCGTGTTTCGGAGTTATAGAGTTAAGAGAGGGTTATAACCACAAATAAATACCCTTCTTGCCTGTATTGGCTTTAACTCTTTAACTCCTAAACACGAATCTTTATAAACAAGGCCGCTGCGCAGAGGAACAAGTTTGTTCATTTGAATTTCAAGTTCAAAGTTTAATTGAAACTTCAGTTACTACCTCCCATTATCTAGCCTTCTTTTTCCCATTTTCTCATTGACATTTTTAATTATATAGAATAATACTTTTAAATTAAAAATAAATCAATACATATAGATTAAGCGTGAAATTTTTTTTTCTATCAGAGTTTTTAATTATATTTAAAAATCTTTTTCAAAATAATTTGAAAAATTCTTGTTATAAATAATTAAACAACAATATATAAAATATATTTTAAATAAAGTTAAAGTAGAAAATGAAACTAATTTTCAACATCATTAAACAAAAACACAAAACTTTACAGGGACAAAATAAAAATTCAACCCAAAAAAACCCAATAAAATCCAAAAAAACCCACTGGACTGGGTTTTTTTAAAAAACCCGGGTTTTTGCCAACCCTGATGGCAATCCTCTTATTGAGTCCTCCTCTTTACTTCTTCTTGGATTATCACTTACTTTTGACCTTTCATGGAAACCATATATACAACCGATTGCTAAATTAGCTTCTGCTAAGGTTGCTTCTCTTTATCGTGCTCGCCATTTCCTTACTTCTGATTCCATTCTCTACCTCTACAAATCTCTTATTCATCCCTGTATGGAATACGGTTATCATATTTGGGCTGGTTCTTCTAACGATTCACTTTCTCTTCTAGACAAGGTCCAAACACGCATTGTAAATGTTGTTGGACCTGGACTATCTGCTAAGCTTGAACCTCTTTCCCATCGTCGTAAAGTTGCATCTCTTTCTCTTTTCTACAAATACTATCATGGTCACTGCTCAAAGGAGTTATCATCTCTAGTTCCATCAACTAAAATTCATTCTCGTTTTACTCGTCATTCAGCTAAGTCTCATTCGTTTACTGTATCTGTCCCTGCATGCTCTTAAAACTTTTATTCATCTAGTTTTTTTCCCCGCACTTCAATCCTTTGGAACTCTCTCCCATCTTCATGTTTTCCTGACTCATACAACTTTTCAAGTCTTCTGTCAACCGTTTCCTTGCACTATAACTCTGTTCTTTTTTTTCCTAGTAACTCCCAACTTAATAGTGGTTGCTTGCAGCCTTGTTGGGAGTGAATGCAAATTAAAAAAAAAAAAATTAGATGAGACAGAAGAACTCAAATTAGTCTCACAAAGAGAAAGAAGGTCTGGTGAACTTTGCAAGAGATAAGACTCAGCAGAAGAAAAGTTACTTCGAAAACCACGAATATTGGTGAATGATAGGTTTAGCGAACTTGGTGATGACAGTGGTTTTTTGTGTTTTATAGTTTGGAAAACCTGACTACCAACAGGCTTTAGAACCATAAAACTGGGTTTTAGAGCTGTACCCTCATTAGGAGATAATAGAATTGCCTAGTCATAAAAACAGACACATAAGCAAAATCCATGCATTGAGTAAAGAAGATCCAGCATTCAACATCCTAAACTGGAAACAATGTATTAAAAATACATCTGCGCCAGCCTAATAGATAAAAAAGGGATGCGAGACTGGTCAACAGATAGAATCTGTTTACCCCTTAAGTCTTTGCCTAGGAGGCCTTTTACAAGAAAACAGCCGGATGCATTTAACGTCTGCTCAAGATGAGTATTTTTATCGAGACAATATCTCTAAATTACCTTCATTTTGGGGTTGAAGGAATTGTTTATTTGCAATTATTCTGCTGCCAAGCCCTGCATTAATCATCACCTCTTAACCATTGTTACAGATACCATAGATCCTTAAGAACTATTGAAAGTAAGGGCTTATTCTAGAGCAGTTAATTAACGATTTCTCGTATTAGTGGTTGTAATTCTTCTGAAGGTAATCTTTCTAGAAGTAGTATAACAATATAAATACTCAGTCCTGATCTTTAAAATAGGTTAATGTCAGAAGTGCATCTTTTTGTAAATAATTACTCTAACTCTTTCATGCCATTTAAAAAATGGTATTATAAAAACTAAACATATAAAAATAACAATATTATGAATTTTTTTAAATCTTAGGCATTCTCAATGTATTATAAAAAAATTATGCTGTGAATTAAAATTTAAATATTAGTTTTTTTTGTATATAAAATTTTAATTTCAGATTTTTCCCAAGAATTTGAAACATTTAATATATGCTAATACTATCATCAAAAATTATTTTTCTAAAGTATGTCAACTTGAGTTTCAAAAGATATAAAGTTATATAAAAAATTATAAACAAATAAATTTAATTAAAAGAGATACAAGGAAAAGTCTTTGAAACATACTTATATAAAGAATACATATATAAGCATAAACTGAAAAAATCTTTAAATTTTATGGTACAAAATCTAAAATATCAACTTTTAAAAAGCAAAATTTTGCTTTTAAACTTTTGGATATTTTTTGCATAATTACACTTTTTATATGAAAAATAAATTTTTTTTAAGGTTAACCTGGATCACATATATTTTTATTTTGTTGATGTAAAACACATTTGAGATTACATGGGAGTATGCAGACATTTATAATAAACATTCTTTTTACCAATAATACATTACCTTGAAATTTAACAGCATCTAAATAACACATAAGATTTACGTCACTATCTTTATCGCCACAAAATGTTGGACCATGTTCAGTTCTTATTTGAACACTTATTATTATATAAGGCATAATTTACTTACTATAACTTTTCCCTAAAAAATCCAAACAGTTTTAAACTTTAACTATATTACCTGTCATTTAAACATCAAAGTTAAATGACTAATTCATTTAAAACAATTAATATACTATGTGTTAACTGTTTTAAATAAAGCCGAAAACAACAAAAAAGCTTTAACAATGTTAAAATGGTTATTTTAAATGAAAAAATGTTAAACTTTATATAGTTTAAGTAATTTCCATAAGCAATTTTAAAACAAAAAGTATTTAATCAATTACTTATATTACTATAAAATTGTATATATATATATATATATATATATATATATATATATATATATATATATATATATATATATATATATATATTTATATATATATATATATATATATATATATATATATACATAAATACATATATATATATATATATATATATATATATATATATATATATATATATATATATATATATATATATATATATATATAGAGAGAGAGAGAGAGAGAGAGAGAGAGAGAGAGAGAGAGAGAGAGAAAGAGAACAATAGCTATCACAAACAATTATAAATTGACAAGAACGTAATTTTAATAAAATATATGAAATAAATATCCAATATACAACAATAAAAATTATACTAATAGCAAAAACTATTATTGATAATTTTGTTATATACATGTTGTCACAAATGATATTATTATTATTATTGAATAATAAGGATAATAATAACAGTAAAAATACAGTAAAAAAGATCAATATCAATTCATATTAAATTTATATACTAATATTATTTTTATATTTCATATATTTTGACATTTACAGAGTAATGTCATACGCATATTATATGACAAATGTATCCAAGTATATGTGACATACACATAAATTGTAATATATGGCATATATGGCAATGTGTTGCATGTGACATACAACATTACTGTGTATGTCACATATAGATGAATCATTTACAGTGTATATGTCATACAAATATATGATAATGAATTGTATGACAAAATTACTGTGATGTCACAAGGAGATTGCAAAAATCTGTCAGAGTTTGCAATGCTTGTGATATAAATGTATTTAATTTCAGAAAGTACATTATTATCAAAAGTATTTACTGGCGGTATACTTACTGACAGTAAGTAGATTATTATTAAAAACGTTGCAAACGCTGACAGCTTCTTGCATTCTTTGCAAATATCTTGCATTCAATAATGATGCTAAATTGGAGAGTTGATTTATATATATAAATTTTTATTCTATTTAATTTTCTTAGAATTTACTTAAAACAATTATTATTGAATATATCTTTATTATCTTGGTCATTAAACTTATCAATGAAGCTATGGAGAAAATTTTTTTTTGGAAGAATACATTCGTATCGCATACTTTGTAAGTTAGCGGACTTTTGACGCGCGGGCAGCATACGCTGGAAGGCCTATTTTGAAACCCTTTATGGGGCTCTCCATAAACGATGTCATGCATCTAGGAGGGAGGGGTCCCAATTTTTGTGACATCTGTGACAAGAGGAGGAGGGAGTTAAAGTAGTGGCGTCACACCATATATATATATATATATATATATATATATATATATATATATATATATATATATATATATATATATATATATATATATATATATATATTATTATTATTATTATTATTATTATTATTATTATTATTATTATTATTTTATAAACATCAATAAATACGATTTTCTCTCGATACTAAATTTATTTTTTATTTTTTAAAAGAAATTTTCGCTGGATTGTTGTGACCAGCGTCTTCAGCTTAAAAGATTTTGTTTGTTTTTGTTTATATGTTATTTTTAAACGGCAATTTTATTATATGTCAATGGAATGGTTTCGTCTTTTTCTGACGTAAGTGCATTAGAAATGGTGTCCAGAATTTTGTTGACACATATTGTCCCTCATCTAAATTGATACCACTTTGTTGAGGGGCACATTGGTGGTACTGTATTTCAAGCGCCTCATGAACTTTCCTATCAAACTTTTTTTATTATTGACTTTTAGAGTTCTGCAACTGTCCCAGTTAATTTGTTGTGCACAATGTTTCATGTGTGTGGCTAATGCTGATCTTTCTGTTTTATTTCCTATTGTACTGTTTTTGTTTGCATGCGTGTTTTTATTTGCATTTTTGTTTCACCAATATACTTTTTGTTACAATGGCACTTAATAAGGTAAACTCCTGGGTGGCTGTTCCTTTGTAGTTTGGATTTATTTCTTGAAGTTAATATTGCTTCTAGGTTTAAGTTTGATTTAAAGACCGTTTTATATCCTGCCTTCCTGAACACTTTACGCAATTTGGGAGACAATATTGGTACCCAAGGAAATGAATTTGTTGGATACGTAATGGTGATGTTGTCAATGTTTTTAGTAGTCATTAGAGGTTTTTTGTACTTTCGTTTTATTTCTTTTATGATTTTTATAAGATTGGAATATTTGTAACCATTTTAGACAAATACTTGAATAAGGAATTTCAGTTCATTTTCTATATGTTTCTGACTGAATACATTGAATGCTCTATGTACAAAACCCTTGAATATTCCATTTAAAATTAGTGGGTCATGGTTTGATGTTGACATCAAACCATGACCCACAAATTTTGGTACTTTTGGTGTGCATTGCCAAGGCCACATTGGAGCCCTTTGTTACGGCTTAGGGTTTATTAGTGGAAATGAGCAATTGCTTGAGCTATAGAACAGTGTACTGAGTACTATCAATGTTTCGAGTCAAGTTCTTTAACAAATTTAAAAATGAATAAAGTAACAAAAACTATAAAACACAAAAAACCACAGTCATCACCAAGTTCGCTAAACCTATCACCAATATTCGTGGTCTTCGAAAAAACTTTTCTTTTGTTGAGTCTTATCTCTTGCAAAGTTCACCAGACCTGCTTGCTCTTTGTGAGACTAATTTGAGTTCAGCTGTCTCATCTTGTGATCTTAGTGTTGATGGTTATTTTCCTTTAATTCGTAAAGACTCCAATAGTCACATGCTTGGCCTGGGCATTTACATTCGTAAGAATTCACCCATTTGTCGGGAGGTTTGAATCCACAGACTACTCTTTTATGTGCTTTCGTTTAGCACCACTTCACTATATCACCTTTCTCTTTGTTCTATATTGCTCTCCCTCATCCCAAGACTGCACTCTTCTTGATGTTATTTCTGATTATATTAACCAAGCCCTCATTCTTTATCCATCAGCCAATATTGTAGTTGTCGGTGACTTTAATGTTCATCACACTGAATGGCTTGGCTCTAGTGTCAGTGACTCTGCAGGCATTAAGGCCCACAACTTTTGTCTTTCTCAATCCCTAACTCAAATAGTCAACTTTCCAACTCGCTTTCCAGACAACCCGAATCATTTACCTTCTCTACTCGACTTATATCTTGTTTCTGATCCTATTCAGTGTTCAATTTCTTCACACTCACCCTTAGGTGCGTCTGATCATGATTTGGTCTCTCTAAAACTATTATCTCATTCTTCTTAACCATTAGAATCCCCCTATCATCGTACATCTTACAACTACCTTAAAGCTGACTGGGACTCTTTTTGTGACTTTCTTCGTGATGGCCCCTGGGTAGAAATCTTTCGTCTCCCTGTTGACAAACGTGCTTCTTACATGACTTCGTAGATTCAGGCTGGCATGGAATCCTTTATTCCCTCTCGACGATTCCAGGTCAAGCCTCACTCTTCTCCATGGTTTTCCTCACATTGTGCTGCTGCATTTGCCAATCGAAACCATTACTTCCATATCTATCAGCAAAACAATTCTCCAGAAAACAGACGTCTCTTAATTACTGCTAGGAACCATTGTAAAAAGGTTTTGTCTAACGCCAAAACCCGCTATTCTCAGATCATGAAATCTCGTATTTCATCACAAAAATTAGGCTCTCGTGACTTCTGGAGAATCTTTAATAGTATCAATAATAAGGGCAAGTCTGCAATTCCACGTTTTACCTGATATAGCCGTCAAACAAGTTGATACATTGCTCGACATTCGTATCACTCCAGCTTCTGTATCTAAAGTGATTTCCCGCTTAGACTCTTCTACAGCTTGCGGCCCGGACAACATACCTGTTATAGTCTTGCAGAAGAGTTCTCCGGAGCTGTCGTCTATCCTTTCAAAACTACTTAACAAGTATCAGAGTCTTGTTTTCCAGCCTGCTGGAAAGCAGCATCTGTTATCCCTATTTTTAAAAATTCTAGAGAGCGATCTGAGTCATCTAACTACCTTCCCATTAGTCTTCTTCCTATCATAAGCAAGGTTTTTGAATCTTTAATTAACAAACACTTAATCTCTCATCTCGAATCTCATAACCTACTTTCTGATCATCAGTATGGATTTCGATCTTCTCGTTCTAAGGCTGATTTGCTAACAGTAATAACCGATAGGTTTTATCGCGCATTAGATAAAGGTAGAGAGGTTAAGGCCATTGCTCTTGACATTTCTAAAGCGTTTGATAAAGTTTGGCATGCTGGTCTCCTCCATAAGCTTTCTTCTTATGGTGTATCTGGAAAATCTTTAGGATTATTGAATCCTTCTTTTCTAATCGTAGTATAAAAGTTGTCCTTGATGGACAGCACTCTTCTTCTTATTCTGTAACCTCAGGGGTTCCCCAAGGTTCAATCCTTTGGCCCTATACTATTTTTAATTTTCATTAACGATCTTCCAGATATTCTCACATCTAAGGTAGCATTGTTCGCTGATGATACTACCATTTATTCTTGTCACGATAAGAAGTCAACTCCCTCTGATTGCTTGCAGGGGGCATCTGAGCTTGAAAAGGATCTCACTTCTGCTACAGCATGGGGCTCACAGTGGCTGGTAAACTTTAATTCAGATAAAACTCAATTTTTTCGACCAATCGTTATCGCAATAGTTTAGACCTTCCTATATTTATGAACTCTGAATTATATATGAACTATGAATTATGTACTCGATGAATCTCCTACCCTTAATCTTTTAGGATTAACTCTTACTTCTGATCTTTCTTGGAAACCTTATATCAAATCCGT